GCCAATAGTTAAACAACTTGAGGTGAGGGATGCTATCATGGTATTTAAATGCTTAAATGGACTTGCACCTCCATATCTTTGTCAGAAGTTTAAAACCAGGTCGGAAGTGCACAAATGCAACACTAGGAATAGGGACCGCCTACATATACCACTCTGTAGGACGGCTGCAGGTCAGCGTGCGTTTACCTTCAGAGGCCAAAGGCTGAGGAATAGTCTCCCAAACGAGTTTCAGTCTATCACTAATTTAGATGTATTTAAAGTTAAAATAAAACAGCATTTTTTAAGGGTATTTTTGGAAAACTAAGTTTTAGATATTTGACTTTGTAAATTTAGCTGAAAAGCCTTTTGAGGAGATTAATAAAGTTATTAATTATCACTTATCTTTGCGAGCGCCATTTCCCTTCTATCAGATTCCATCTTGTCTGCCAGTCGCTTGTTTTCATCCATTTTTAACTTGTGGATTACGCGTAGCGTAAGGAACAAGTCATTGTGGGCACTGCGATATGCAAATGTTCACTCAGATGTAGACACCTTTGGTAGATCAGTCGGCTCCGCACGAAAGCGCCCGATATCAAAACGACAACTGTCGTAGATCGTTGCGTTCCGCGATGTGCTGATTTTGTACATTTCACAGGAGTCACAGGACGATTGTCTTCATGTGGACTTTGAACGTTTCAAATTAGCACTATGGCCAACTTTGAGACACAAGTGTATGAACTTTTGAAGCTTTTTGACTCGTCAAGGCGATAAACATGACGAAAAGATAGCAATTGCTCTTCGACTCCCAAGTTGGTCCAAGCTCACGATTCTGCCGTGAGTCTCACGATGTTTTAAATTTTCTCACGACAAGACTCCCAATCTCATGGTTTTTTTAGTGAAATATCATTCTGAAATCAAATGTTTCTTTGTTCAATAAAAACGGAATTGTTTACTGTTACTGAATCGTAATTGATTCTCCTCATGCAAACGCCGCGAATCGCAAGCTGCTACGACGGTTCTGCGAGACACCTGTCGACCATATGTTCTTCAAATGCGACGAAACGAGTTAAAGTACGGCTTTTTACTATAAAAACCATGCTTATTTTCCTCGAATATATCTGTCAATTCTTCATAAATAAATCTCTACCGGCTTCAAACAGCGTCGACCGGCAGAAGTTCATGGGCAAAAGTGTTAAAGATGATTGATTTATCATGCGACTTCAATATCAGTCGTCGCGGCGCAATAGATAACGCGTTGACCTTCCAGGTCGGAGGTCGGAGATTCGACTCTCGCCCCGTGGGTTAATTAGGCACCCTTTGATTGCCACTTGTTGTCTTATTGCTAAATCCCTTTTGTCCGCTTCTTTTAGAAATGTCTCGTGCTCTTTCGCCCAAGTGGTGACCTGCTCCTGTGATTCTCCATTTGCAAATTTCAGCTACATAATGGATTCTTTCACTGTGTGAGCGGCCTGCAATTTTGACATCAATAGCGCTTCGTGTCTTGATATCGCTTCTGTGTTTTGAGAGGCTTTCATTTCATCATTTTTGTCTAGCGACAACTTGATAGACTGAATCTTCCCGTTAAATTCTTTCGTTAGTTCCTCCATCGCGTTAGCCCTTGTAGTTTTGGCGTCGTTTTTTCCGCCTTGTAAATATACGCAGTATTAAAATTCCCTGATCGCGTAGCTGTGTACTTGAATTTCCGTAAATGCCTTGCTCTTGTTCGAGCCAAATCCCGGTGTGTCCCGTTGGAGGTGCCCGCACTTGTGTTGGGAATTGCCTCCAAATAGTTGTTATCCAACACGCTCACAGGTATTTATTCCTTTCCTCACAGTACAGCACACTCTCATCTCAAAATAATTCTCTTTTACTACCTGCTTTTGTTCTACTATTTTATTGTCAATCACGAGGTTTTCAGGTTCGCTTTCAATTCCAATGTTCAGGGCTATCAGTTTCTCACGTATAATCTATCACTTAACACCTCTTTTAAATCACGTGACTAAAATCTAACAAAACTTAAAGGAACAGTATCCTGTTACTGTGCATGCACCAAACTTTGATTTTTGGACAGGATGTCGCGAAATCAAAAGATGCGAGGAGAGTAAGAGAACCTTGAAAAATCCGTTTGCATCGCGTTTGGCCGAGTTCGATACTACACTAAAACATCTCAGGATTGCAGATCAATGATATATTGTTCCCGTTTAGTTTCGATTTGGGCGAAATCGGGATTTTTGGCGTTACTTTTATTGCCGTTGGCCGGAGGACCAAAAGATGGGAAGCGCTTTTATGGCGATTGAAGGCTTATTTCTTCTGCTAGCTTCCATACAAGCTTAGATAATTGTGAAAGGAATACGCAGAAATGAAACAGCAACAATAGAGACTGTAAGAAAGAAACCACTGAGACACGGATGTGACTGAGGAGATCTTGTGGAATCAAGCTTCCTGAAGCAGAATGTTTTGCAACGACGCGTTAGTAAACTTTTAAAGGAACCTTCCCACGGCCAAAAAAATCAAACAAACAGGCGCTACATGTTTAGAAAAACTAGTGCAATGAAATCATAATATAATTTTTTACTCAGTAACCTTTGCGATTATTCATCATGTTGCGATTACATTTTTATATATATCCTTCAAACGTTTGAGTCTAGAACGCGAGCAAATCAGGCAACTTTTACTGGACTTGGAACAATTGACCTCTGACACGAGTTTCACATTAGAAAAGCTGTTTTTAAAGCGAGCGGAACGAGATTTTCGGGTTGCGAGACGACCTTGCTAGCGACAAAATCGCGATGAGTCTTCGTACCGCGAGTTAAAGTTAAAATAAGACGAAAAACTTCTTCGAAAGTCTAAAATATTGCTTAAGATTGTAAACAACAAATCTCCGTCGGCGGTGCGGTCCGGAAGGAAATCTTGTCTAGTCAATATGACAGTTCTATTGTCTTTTAAAGAAAAAACAGATGACGCTCGCGCGTGCGCAAAATCGGGACACTGTCCCTTTAAATCATGTTTACAAAGGAGATTGGTAATTATTTCCGACAACCCTCCAATTTCGTTTACCTGAAAATTTGTCTGTTAATTTCTTGTCATAAATTGGCAGAAACGCATACGGAAAGGCAAGTCCGATGCCCCTGTTCAATGCGTTGTTCATTGGTTTCTCTATACGTCCACGTCTGCAGAAATAGTCGTGTACAAGCCAAACGTTTAAGCGCTGGTATGCTTTTCACGTAGAAGATGTGGTGCTTAAACTCATAACAGCCACCGCTATCATTAAGATTACTCACGAGGGCTTTTTAATTAATAGCAACCTTAATCCAGCTTTTATTATGTCCTTTTTCTCCAGCTCACCTGATTCACAACCCTCTGATAAGTGGGAAATGCTGCCTGAGCAAATAGAATTCGAGGGAGAGCTAGGGAGAGGAGAGTTTGGTGTTGTTTACAAAGCAACCTTAAGAAAGAGGGATGAGATGGAGGCGTTGGTCACTGAGACTTCCAAATGGCCTTCATCATCCACGAAGCCGAAGGCACCACAGGAGGTGGCTGTCAAAGTTTTACATGGTAAGAAATATTTTAATCTACAAAACAAGAGACAAAGCCGTAAGCGCTAATTAAACTTGTAACTTATTTTCAATTGTTTATATTCAACAGAAACGAATTCTTTTTTATTTCCTGTTTGGACCTTTCTGAGACCCCAACAGAAAATCAGTCGAAAAAATCCAATATTTTTTTATTCCGTTTGCTTTGGTTCTTGTTAGTATTGTTGTTGTTGTCGAATATTCTTTTCACCACTGTTCTCTCTCGAAAAAAAAGAAAACAAAGGCCTGAGGGTAAATAGGGTAGGAGTTCAAGGTAGCATGCCTCACCCACCGAGACACAGAATGCCTAAGTTTTGGTGCACCCTGACTGTTCCAGATAGCGCATTCCCTCCAAGGCTGCTGTCTAAGAAGATGGGGTCGTAAAGTGACTATTAAACTGAAATGCACTTAAACGGAATAATCTACCTGTCCTTTTGTGCATAGGAGGATGCGTGCGATAAAAAGGGATAATATCTGTCATGCAAATAAAAAATCTAGCACTGAAATAACACGCTGTCACAGGAAGAATGACGAAGACATAATCACTTTATCAAATTGTCTTTAGACGATCCATCTGAGGCACAGATAGAGGAGTTCACGTTTGAGATTGAACAAATGAAACTGTTAGGCTCGCATAAAAACGTTGTATCCATGGTTGGATGCTGCACGCTTGAAGAGAAAATGTTCCTGGTCATAGAATACGTTCCCTGTGGTGACCTCTTGACGTGGCTACGCCGCAGAAGAAAAAAGGTAACAAAATCATAGCAGCGTGTTCTCGTGTTCTGAAAGGGTAGACCACCATTTTTTATGACTATATAGCTACCAGCCCTATCATGTATTGGGACTATTGCAGATTTACATCTGCGAAGATGCCAATTTCATACCCGATAAAGTCCTTGTTATTGAAATCATAAGAATTTTTTTAAAACTTTTGTTACAAAGAGAAAATACTTTCTCTCCAGATTACTCAGTGCTTAAGGGAAAATATTTCAACATTATCATATATCTGACTAAATTGGAAACAAGGTGCCTGCACTCACTCTACTGGACAGCCAAGTCCAAGGAGCAAGAACGCATCCTCACCACCCATGAAACTCACTCCCCCAAGCTCTGCTAGTAGTGTTACGATTTTGAGTCACAGCATTTATTTGGCTGAGCTAGCTTACAGGGAAACTTCCTTGACTTTGAACTGCATTCTGGCTTGAAAATCTATCAAAGTGACAAAATCTCCCCTTACCTACCCCCTACTTTTGACACAAAAAAGCCAGCCACCCATCCTCTACTAGGTCCGGGCCTAAGCTCTCTGATAAGCCCTCGGATTTTTTTGGCTTCCCTGGCTTGATGCCCGTGTTCAAGCGAAAACTTTGCAGGCACCTTTAAGCAAAGTCACACAGATGTATTGGTCTTTATTTGTTCCGAAACTGATAACGTTGCTTGCTGGAAGTCTAGATCAACGAACTTAAAGCCTCCGAGAGATCATATGCTGACAAAGAGGTTCTAAAAGATCAGCAAAAGACCAGAGATAAGGTAGGCTTGTCAACAAAATGTACTGATTCAATATTTTATCCATTTTTGTTTGACCCGGATATTTTTTCTATTCTTCAAAGTCCCCAAACCGTTTGTTGTTTGTTCCCTGTGTCTGATTGACGGCTCATTGTACGTAATCAAAGACTTCATTAAGGGCGCTTTCCAAAAGTCAGAACTGGCCGGCCAGACCATAGCAGGCAACAGTCATTTTGACAATGAAAAATGCTTTTTTCCAAGAGCTTTTCTTGAAACACCATTTCCTTTGTGCTTGCTATCTGGGATCTGACTGATAGTTTGGATTAAAAGTGAAATTCTCACTATGACTGGAATGGTCTGGCCGGTCAGTTCTGACAAATGGAAAGCGTCTTAAGACTATATATTAAGACACTGAAATTTTTTCCATGCTTGTAAAAATCACCAAAAAGTTATTATGTTTAATGCCCTCTGATAAAATTTGTTTGATGTCTTTTTTTATGGGGTGGTATAAGAGGGAGGGTGGGACACTCTTATAGGGTGGATTGAACAGTCTTTCCTTCGTTGTAGCAAAAACAAGCAGGCAAACTTTTGAAGAAAACGGCAAAGGAAGAGCAGCCTCAGGTCACCATGGAAATGATCTCATTGCGCCAGAGTGGCGACCCAAAGGACATGGCGTCAGCCACTCACAGTCTCCCTGATGTAAGAATTTTCATAAACGCACTCAAGCCACAAGCGGCCTTGTCTCCATCCTTGGAGGCCTTGGGGCAGTCAGGTGGTTCGGGAAAAAACGTTTGAGCCCCTGCTTACCGACTCTCACCAGACCATTTTCAAACAATCCAGCGAGTGCTGACTCCCGATTGGGCAAAAAAAAATGCTTTGTATTATTTTGACCAATGGGCGAACAGGGGCTCCTATTTTCTTTTCATTTGTTCGTACACGACGGCTATTATCTCGCCATACTTGTCCGATTCTTTCACCAAGGTTGGGCGTGTAAGGGGAATCTTGGCTTTTCCTACTTTGTCCCTACCAGAAACGTAGGAACTACTGATGATTGGGGAAGACGTTTCAGATGCTATCAACAGGACCGTTCCAATTTGCTCCTAGACCATTCTGTCACAAGCAGGGTGCAAAGAAAGTCAGTTTTACAGCCTGCCATTCGGGCAAGCTGTAGCTAGCATGTACTAGCCCACAAGTCATTTCAACTAGCCCCCCAAACCCTTTTTGATTAACAAGTCTGATTACCATCCTTCTGTAATTTGAATTTCCCTAAAAAACAGCACTTGCCCGTCGGGAAAAAATCACTAGCCCAATAGCAAAATCTACTAGCCCCGGGCTATCGGACACGATTTTCTTTGCACGCTGCACAAGATATCGTAAATGATATTTACGATGGCGTGATCTATAAGGATCGATGCAAGCTTGAATACGTGTTGTAAGCTCATGTTCATGTTTTTGGATAAGCATCTTTTAAATACCCTTTCATACGTTTCCAAATTTAGTTTTCGGGTAGACAGTTGCAGTCTCTTTGAATTCATGGACGGGCTTTATATCGAACTGGAACTTTCCTGACAGCGTGTATTTCTTTGGTGCAAGAGCCAAACGAGTATCATAATGGCGAGGCGATAGCTGTCGTGTACGAACACACCAAAAGAACTCAGGAGATGCTGTTTATCGATTGGGCACAATAGTACAAAGCATTCTTTGCACACAATCAGCTTGACCGTTTGGAAATAGTTTAGTAAGGGTCGGCACCCAGGGGCTCTTCCGCCCTTGCTTGAAAATCATTTTTTGCCGCGCCTTTTCTCCCGACCCGACTGACTGCCTGTGGCTCTCCGAGGATGCCTTGTCTCGCAATACGAAGGGTGTAACATGATATATTTCATTCCTAACAGCATTGGGCGAAGCGACAGGAACAAAAGACTATTGTTATTGAATTAAATGTCGTGGTTTCTGAAGAATTATAAATAAAATTTCCATCTTATTTCAGTGGAACTTTAAATGAACAAATTCACCTCCTTTCTGTCTTCTGTTAGTCGAATTACATAGTTTTAGCACAAGTACCCCGAAACTCATGCAAGATAAAGGCAGTAGTCTGCCTAAACTTGTGTGATATTTTAATTTTTAGTTAAAGACAGTAGCTTCTAACAATGCAATGTTACAATTTTCTTACATATAAATTAATCGCCTTTTTTAAAAATCATTTAGCAAAGGTTCGCCTTTAATAATGAGGCTATGGACGATAAACATTCTGCACACAAGGAACAAGTGAACATTGCACAGCAAACCGACAAAGATGCCGTTCTTGAAGTGATTCCCTCAACTTCCGCTAAAAATCAAGTAAGAAGTTTTATAATTATTTACCACTACAAGTACTTCGGGTATAGGTATGAGGGTACTTGGTGTACTTGGTGCATTTGGTGCGTCAGGGTCATGAACCTCCCTACCCTGCAATGCATAGTTCGGGGTAGCCCTTGGGCAAGGCGTAACACCCGTTAGGCCTGTCAAGGTCACGACACTGTTGCCTGGCAGTCAGGTTTTTTTTTGCCACCGCCTAAGGGAGACAAGGTCTGGCGCTCCTCCAGCATCGCTTGCTGGGATTTGTCTCAGTGAGCCTAGCAAAACATTGATTTGGACAGAAATTGATTATCTCTTCTATAGTATTGTTCTCCCTAACATAACCTACGGACTATCTGTTTATGGTGCCTCCGATGCGGAAATTAAAGTCCTTCAGCAATTTTTAGACAGATGCTATAGTCACGCTTTATATCTACACCGTTAAATATTAGATCATTACTACAAAAACAAGATAAAGCGATTTTTCAGAAAGCTAAACAGCATGATAACCACCCTCTGAAGGTGTGCTTACCGCAAGAAAAGAACAATCTAACCTACAATCTTCCACGTAAAAGCTTCCAAAGGCCCAAGATAAACACCGAACGTTATAAGAACACATTTTTAAATAGATTAGTTTTCAAATACAACCTTTTATGACATTTTATGTGAGATATGTGTAACTATTTTTTTACATTTTTTAATCTTTTTATTCTATTGTAATTTAGCTGAACTTTTAATCTTTTTATCCTGCAACATGGGATATGTATTTTTATCTAATGAGCAATAAAAACATTTATTATCTGCTGCTAAGTCCAACGAACTGCTCGGATGACAGCGATGCTCTAGACTTCTACAACACCTCTCTGAATTAATAAAGAAGCTACCTGGACATAACCTTAAGATCATATGTAGTAATATTTGAATGCACAAATCAATCCCTTAGACTGTAATGGGTTTAGCTGTGGAAAAAAGACGTTTATGTTGGATATGGCTACTGCATGTGAGCTTATAATTTAGAACACACGCTTCCAAAACAGCTTTAAAAGTTGTGGACGTTCATGTACCCAAATGGTTGCAAAGCCAAACTTGATTATATACTGGTAAACAGGAAATAGTGGAACAGTGTCTAAAAGACTGTAAGGCATATGACCCTCTCAGTAAAGTATATTCAGGCCATAAAATTGTCGTAACTAAACTACGCCTCTGTTTGCTAGCCAATGGGAAAACAACTGCCAAACGTACCAGTTTCGACTGGCATTGTTTTAGCACCAGCCATTCCGTCAGAGAGGCTTATACTGTGGAAGTTAAGAATCGCTTTGAGGCCCTGTACCAGCTTGAGGAAAAACACACTGTGAACGATCTGTATACCACTCTGGTATCTTTAAAGGTTGGTGACAAAGAACTGATTGACGATGAGAGTATTGCTAGTAGTTTTAATTCCTATTTTTCATCTGTTTTTACCTCCGAGGACTTCACCAACTTGCCTTCTTTAGAGCCTTTAGTTTGTGAGAAACTTAATTATATTTCCTGTACTACTGAGGAAATTTTAAAGCATCTTAAGTCTCTTAAAACGAACAAGTCCCCGGGTCCAGACAGAATTTCACCAGTAATTTTAAAATCATGTGCGTTCGAATTGGCGCTCTCGATCTCATTTCTGGTTAACAAATCTTTCCTGCTGGGCCATTTTCCCGAAGATTGGAGATCAGCTGACATTGTCCCACTTCATAAGAAAGGTTCTAAACACTTGAGGGAGAATTATCGTCCAATTTCGCTTACATCCATGATATGCAAAATCAGCGAAAAAATCGTACGCGATAGGTTAACGTCATTTTGGCAAGACCATAACGTGATAAACAAAAACCAATTTGGTTTTTTGCAGGGTAGGTCTACTGTGACCCAATTACTCTCTACTTTTCATGACTTCGCCAAATCTAGGAATTCATCTGTAGCAACAGATGTTGTATTTCTTGATCTCGCAAAGGCGTTTGATAGTGTTCCTCATGAGCGTCTACTCATAAAGTTATATAGCCTCGGTATTGAGAGTAAACTTCTTAACTGGTTGAGGCATTTCCTCACGTGTAGAAAGCAACGAGTTGTTGTAAGAGGGACTTTTTCTGATTGGGCACCTGTGATATCTGGTACCCCACAGGAACTATTCTTGGTCCAATTTTATTCCTATCATATATAAATGATATCGTTGATAGTGTCTCTTCAAAAATTAAATTATTTGCGGATGACACTAAGATTTACAGAGAGCTTCGCAACCCTAGTCTCGATGAACAATACCTTCAAACTGATTTGAATAATCTTGGTAAATGGGCGAAAAAATGGCAACTTCGTTTCAATGAGGAAAAGTGTGAAGCAATGCGAATAACGCATTCTCGTGACAAATCGACTACGAATTATAAACTAGGTACGGCCTTAAAAGATGTCAAGAGCTTTAAAGATCTTGGAATTATTATATCAAAAGATCTTACTTGGAGTGAACATATTAGTACCATGGTGAATAAGGCGAACCAAGTCCTAGGGCTAATAAGACGGTCTGTTGGAACAGCTAATACAACAACTTTTTCATTGCTTTACAAAACATTGGTCAGACCACTTCTAGAGTATGCTGCTCCAGTCTGGAACCCATATCTTGTCAAAGATATTCATGCAATAGAGAGCGTGCAAAGACGCGCGTCAAGATTAGCTCTTAGGCAAAAAAGAGGTGATATGTCTTATGAAGAGCGTTGTGACTCGTTACATTGGCCATCTTTGTCCAGTCGTAGGACATATTCCTCTCTTGTTGAATGTTATAAGATCGTGTTTGGCTTATCACACTTGGATTTTGAGGAATTCTTTCAATTCGCAAAAGTCAAATCCACTAGGGCAAATCACTCGTATAAGCTTTATTGTAAATTATCTAGGATCAACTGTTTTAAATATTCTTTTTTTAACAATGTAATTAGTTACTGGAACAATTTACCTAGTAATGTTGTTGAAGCCGGTTCCCTTGAACTTTTTAAATGTAAACTCAAATCCTTTTTAAAGTTGTAATTTTTATTGTAATTTTTATTGTGTGTTGTTTTTTGGAGAGTTTTATTCATAGGGTTAACCTCTAGACTCTCCCTTTCAAATTCATGTGGTCATTATGAGTTTGAATAAACATGTATGTTATGTTATGTTATGTTACGATGATCAAGGCCAAAATGGATGCAGCTGAGAAGTGTATTCCTAAGAAGACACGAGTGAAAAAACGAGTGCCCTGCTGGGAGAAAGAACTTGTCAAGGAGAAAAGGAACGAGTTGAAGAAAGCCTGTTTGAAAAATTAGCGTCTCCCCAACTCTGACAATGCGAACTACCTAAAACAAGCGAAAGAGGAACTTCAAGCTACATATGACAGGAACAAGTGGAATATCTGGCCCAGAAATGCGCTGAGACTGAAAACGCTGCAGCGCAGCATCAGGCAAAAAAAAAACATGGGATACTATTAATGAGATAACGGGAAGGACCTCGTCAGCTACAGGTCGTCTTATAAAAGCGAAACTGCTGAAGTGAGGCTGAAAAAATGGAGGGACCATTTTGCCACACTCTTAGGCCAACCTGAGGCCGAAGACAGGAACCAGTAAGTAAATTGTACAGGATACTATTCCAATCAGCACTAATGCCTTTACTTTGTCTGAGCTATGGTCCAAGAGCATTATAAACCCCGTACCCAAAAAGGGCGATCCCAGTGAACCTCAGAACTATCGTGGTATTGCACTTATTCCAACAACAGCTAAGATCTATAATAGAGTGCTTCTTAACAGGATCCGCCCCCACTTAGAACCCCTGCTGCGCACAAATAAAAACTGGTTCCAACCAGGAAGATCAACATTTTCTCAGATACTTACTCTTCGAAGATTTGTTGAAGGCATAAAGGCCAAGAATCTAACAGCAGTTCTTACCGTTGTGGGCTTCCAAAAGACGTTTGACTCGGTGAACAGAGACAAAATGTTTGAAATTCTGAAAGCTTAAGGCATCCTAAATCAAATAGTCTCGGCTAGAGCGTCGATATATCATAACACTGAAGCCAGAGTTTGCTCACCTGGTGGAGAAACAGATTTCTTTGCTTTCCATGCTGGAGTACTGGAGGGTGACACGATAGCTCCGTTCCTGCTCATCATAGCATTAGACTACGCAATGAGATCCGCAATTGAAGGCTACGAAGACCTTGGATTTACACTGACTGAGAGAAGAAGTCGTCGCTCTCCCGCAGTTATGATCACTGACACAGACTTTGCTGACGATATCGCATTGATTTCAGATAACTTGGATAAAGCCCAATCACTGCTAGAGGGAGTTGAAACTGCTGCCACAGAAGTTGCGCTGCACATTAACACCGGCAAGACTGAATACATGGCCTACAACCTACGACACAGGGCGACCTTACCACCATAAAGTCAATTCAAAGCTAAGACAAGTGGACGATTTCAAGTACCTAGGCTCTTGGATAGATTAAATGACCATTACGTTTCTTTAGAGTTTCACTTGAATCTGTTCTATTGTTCTATTGTACGGGTCAGAGAGTTTGACATTGACAAATTGATGGCTGCTACACAAGACCCTTAGATAAGCGGGGGCGCCCGAAATAAATAGACAACTATTTTAATTTTTACTTTCGACTAAAGGAGAACGCAACATAATAATCGATGTAGGTCAAGTTTAACTACAGCCGTCATACTATTTTCGTCGTTGGTGTACTACTTCTGCGCATGCGCCTTCTTGAATCACGTCACAACCTCTCGTTTCAATGCTATTTTAGTCGTAGACTCGACACTGGCCGTTGCTTCCTGGGTAAACTTCGTCCGGTGAAGCCGCAAAGGCTTTCTTTAACTGTCGCGGTTTAGTTCATCCCAGATATTTTGAGAACAGACTCCTGAAGCAAGGATACGTGGTTGATAGCTCTAAACCTGCCACTTTTAAGCTAAATACAGAGAAACTTCATAATTATCAATTGCGTCCACTTGGTTAAACACCTGTTCTTGTACTCAAAGTTGGCTCCTCAGGCCACTTAAGGCATGACTATATAATTAAATATGCATAATTTGATAAAATGCTATTTAGAACGGTTCGCTCGTATCAATGATCCTGAAAATTGAACTACTAATGTAGCTTAATGACCTTAGCAATATGAGACATTTTAGAAGTTCAAATTTTCGTCACGTGACTTCTAATTAAGAATTGACGGTCAAAATGTTTACTCTAAAATGGGGAAAGGATAATAAAAGAGCAACAAGTTCTTTTAGGTATGTTTCAGAGGCTATTAAAAAGGTTCTGAAGAATTCGCCTTTTATGTGTGTTTACGTAAAACAGGAATCGGTAAATAAAGTGAAAAGGGTCACGTTACCTGCTAATTAGTTAAATAGCTAATAGGATAAATAACTTTTCCAACCATATAAGGTGAATTTACGTTTTATATTGTTTATGTAACATTTTGGTGGTGAAAATTCCTAAGATTAAGTTTTGCAAACCTTCCCCGTTTAGGAAAACGTGTTTTGTGACGTCACTGATGAAGCAATGTCATTATGTCACGTGTTATTTCAAATCACCTTTTACGCGTTTCTTTCATTAAGCCACAGTTGTAGTTCGCTTTTCAGGATCACTGATTGAAGCAAACCGGTTTAAATAGCATTTTACAAAATATGCATATTTAATTGGGTAGTCAGAGATGCAGCATTTGATTTTGCAAATGACACTTGGACAGAAGGAGCAAAAACACCAGGACTGGTTTGAAAACAACAACGAAGAAAACGCATGCCTTCTGAAGCAAAAGCAGGAAGCATTTAGCAATTGGCTTTAGGAAAAGACCTCGACTGCCAGGCACGATCGTCTCAATTAAACAAGCACCTCAGGAACAAAGTCCAGACTGAGCTGAGACAGATGAAGGATACGTGGTGGCAACACAAGGCTGCAGAGCTGCAGCAATACTCAGACGAGCACAACTTTAAGAGGTTCTTCGAGGGCTCGAAGACTATATATGGCCCCCCTTTCAATTTCATGACTCCTGTCCCATATTCGGCTGGAACCCTGCTTACAGGGAAGTCTGATATCGTTGAAAGTTGGTGAAACATCTTTAGCCAACTTCTCAACAAATCGACCAGTAAGCAATCCAAGATATACTTCAGCGCCCGGTTCTAAGCTCTCTTGACGATTCCCCAACACTGGAGGAAACCCAGAAAAAAATAAGAGCTCCAGGCTGGGAAAGCACCTGTTCCTGATGACATACCTTCCTGACGACTTCAAGAACACCAACGCCATCCACCTGTACAAGAACAAAAATGACAGAGCATCATGTGACAGCCACAGAGGCATCTCGCCGTTGAGTATTCGAGGAAATCTCATGGTACTCATCATACTGAGCTGTATCACACACGACCTCTTGGATGATTTCGTGTCCGAGAGTCAGTGTGCTTCAGGAAAAACAGAGGGACAATCGACATGATATTCGCCGTACGACAGATCAAGGAAAATGCCGCGAACAGAATCAGAGCCTGTACATCCTCTTTGTGCACCTGACCAAGGCCTTTGATACGGTCGGCAGGTGGGTTGGACATGTGTTTCTGATGGACGACACGCACCTCCTGAAGATGGTCTTCTTCTCTGAGGTGACCAGCGGTACACGTAGCATTGGACACCCACTAAAGAGGTTCAAAGAAGCCCTGAAACAAAAAACTGAATCGAACCCCACTGTCCGATGGGAAACCTTCGCCACAGACCGCAACGCCTGAAAAATGGCCGTCCACAAGGGCGTTCAAGGCTTTGAAAAGAGCGGCTGAATGATCTCGATCAGGTCTCTCGGCTGGCCGAGTTCTAGTTGCGAAAAAGCTGCGTCTTAGCGATTAAGTCGATCTGTACGATTTCTTCGAGTTCTTTAAGCTAGACCATTATTTATTTTTTTGTAAATTTCCCTAAGGACGTGGAGTGGAAAGTAACGGAAAAAGACTGGCCACTAAGCAGCAAAGCGGCAACAGGAAAAAGTCAAGCGAAGCCTTTACCCGCCATGCCACCTGTAATCGAAAGCATACACGAAGATCTCAGCAGTGATGAAGAAGACGAGGAGGAGAACTTTCGAACCAAACAACTCTTTTCATTTGCTTGGCAAATTGCTAAAGGAATGGTAATTACTATATGATTATTTTCTGAGAAACGTTGCTTCCATTCAGGTTTTGTTTTCATCCTTCAAAGATCGTTATCAAAGACTATTCCACAAGCAAGAAATAAAGGATAAATAAGTTAATTTTCTAGATGATTAATGGTTTTTAGAGGAGAAATTGTCATAGTCGATCGAACCAAATTCGGCATGTTTTGTCTGAATTTGAATCAGCCGTTTAGATCAGTTCAGTTGTGATATTTTACTTTTGATTATTGGCTCCTATAATTTTCACGCCTTCACCCATGCCTTTTTAGGCAATAGTAGCCCCGTAACTGAAGTTTTATGGTACTTATTTTCATTTTTTCTCTTTCCTTCTTAAAATTAGAATCATCTCGCCGAAAACAATCTTGTTCACAGAGACCTTGCTGCCCGTAATGTTCTTGTTGGCCATGATAACCAAATCAAAGTTTCAGACTTTGGGTTGATGAGACAAATCCATGAAGATGTGAGCAGCTCAGCGAAGTCCAAAACACTTCCTGTAAAATGGATGGCCCCCGAAGCACTTTATCAAGACCTTTACACCACCAAAAGTGATGTGTGAGTATAAAAAAATCCCACTCTTTTAAACTCATTTCCATAAATTACTGCTCAGAAAACCTCAGTCAGCTTCCCTATAAGTCGTGATCAGCGAGTTTATTTCAAACCGATCTAGAATTTCAGTGGTTATAGTGGCTGATTTCGTACTTGTCAATATAATTTCGACTCGGGACTACATAGTTTGCATATAAGTCCTGAGCGAGAGCGGCGTCTGCTGAATTCTTAATTCGGAGTGTACGTAAAGATCATTTAGTTACGATTATGCGGCAGACCCGTCACCTAAATTGGTATTCTTTTCCGATCCCTACTCTATTAACCTTGCTAGGCCATTGGCTAAGGGCTTTGCGCAGCTGAGGCCTGGTGTCATAGGGTTAAGTCAAGAGCGAAGGCATGGAAAGGTGGAGATACGCCCTTTTGCCTTAAGTTCATCAAGTAAAGAGAAGAGAAGAAAAGTAATGTTAATGCAGTGGGGATATTCACGACCTCTGTGCTTTTCTCTATAGTTGGTCTTTTGGTGTTGTTCTTTGGGAGATGGCTACATTGGGTGAGTAGACCGTCACACACTAATCATGTAAACTCCCAAGGCGAGGGGAATCCCAAGTACTCTCCTCCCTATTGCCACGGGGTATATGACTTGAATTGTGCGACTGATATCAAAGGACGACACTGGGACTTAAAGAGTGAGTCCTTATTAAATAAGGTTATTGTTACCAGGAAACAGGCTGATACCTGATGACTTTTATTTGTGGCAAGCTAGGCACTTTTGTTTTGAACTAGGCTCTATGTCTGATAAGTGATAATCGGCATCAAATATGCACGCATTAGTTGTTTTCTGGAAAGAGGAGCCTTATTACTAAGCACCCTGTTTTCTTTGACGACACATTTCAATGCAATTCTGACCCCTGCTCAATCACTATTCTATTGCAAAACGGCATTATTGAGTGCGGGGGAATGAAGAGTCGTCGACATTGACATTTCCAGGAAAAAGCTATCCAGGGGAATGAGCCGTATTTTCAAATAATAACATGTATATTTTTTCTTTCGCATAACGTGATCAGGAGGCGTACCACACCCCACGCTGACCAACTCAGAGTTGTATCGACTGCTTGGCGCTGGTTATCGCATGGAAAGGCCTGACATGTGCTCCGATGATGTGTACGTTTCTGGATCAGAATCGTCTTAGAACTGACAAAAAGATTCGATTTTTCCGTGCGTCTTTTTAGTTATAAATAGCCTTGAAAGTTGCGGAGGACAAGTCGGTTTCGATTTTGACGTTTTCTTCGATCAAAGTGATTACTGAACAGACAGACGGCAAAATCTTAGCTTAAATATTTGTTTCATACAGTATTTAACAGAGATCGACAGAGTAAGAATTAGCCTGCGAGCAAGCTCTCCCTTTTGGGCGAGGAAAACGAACCGCGCGAGTACGCGCGAGCGGGAGGTCCCTCGCTGTCGTGTTTCCTCTCGCGTGTCGCACGTGCGTGTACTTGAAGAGATCCCCCAAATGGAGAGCTTGCTCGCAGGCTTGGCAAGAAACCGGCAAGCCTAATGATCCGGCGTGAGTGGCTCGCAGCTGGTCTAAAGGAAACCTCTTCCACTAAATCGGAAAAACGGTGTCTATACATGTAATAATGGATTGGAACTCTGACTAACTTCAATTGGTTTGTTTTTTTGTTTGTTTGTTTGTTTTTGTCCATAACAGATATGAGCTGATGGCTGACTGCTGGAAAGAGGAACCTCGCTCTCGTCCCAGTTTCTATCAACTGATCGAAAAACTGGAGGTGATAATGGAGAGGGATGCACCATACTTGCATCTAAACGAACACAATGAAGATCGTCCATGTTACAACGTGCCACCTGAAGCTGGTGATGATTAAATATGGAGAAGGAGCTTCCCCAGTAATCAGACAATTTCACACCAAACGAGTATAAAAAGTTAACCAATAATGATCATATCGAGAAAGTAATCTTAAAACTTTTGAGGGAAGTAAAATTAGAAGCATAACAAAGACCGTATTAGCAGTAAGGCACCTAGGATCTAATCAGGACTGAGCCCTTTACCCAGGAATGTTCTTGCAAAACGCCTTGGTCATAGCGTGCGAGATTTATATTTTTAAGACTGTTTTTAGATTTCTCGATCTCTCATGTAAAATTAAAAACAAATTATTAAGCTGTCACATGCTAGCTGTTTTCGTTTCTTCACAATCTGCAGCCTGCGTAGTCAGCGGGATCATAAGCGCGTACAGAGTTTTGGCAGAGGAGCTGCAAAGCCGCTCACCTTAGGAAAGAAGAGGAGACGTTTTGAAATTCCCTCGCAGCTTTACCGCCATAACTCTCACACGCGCGCGCGCAAAAAAAGGGAAGGCCAGCTGATCTGACAGGCAGCCCAAGCGTAGTATAGTTGTTGCATGTGGTACAATATTGCAAAATGAAAGGAAACTATCGAAGATTCGTCCGGGGCGGTAATAGATTGAAGAACAAAGTTATTAGCAGAAATTAATTAACAGTTAATGAATGAGGCTGAGTATATTCATTCAAAATAATTCCCAGTTTAAAAACATAGCTAAAACATGCTTACCTCCATCGTTCCATTGATGTTAAGTTCATCTTCGATATTGTACGTTTAGGTTTGTCCAGCTCCGCAAATATTCTCCAAATAGCAGATGTCGCTCTTCGAGTTGTCTTCTTGATGTTCTTGCCATGTTTTTAGCTATTTTTTCGCCTAGTTCTTACTCTTGAAAGGAGTGAAATGTCCGCCATTTTTTTCAATTTCACAACCAAAACAACTCAACCTCGTCCCCAGGTCTTCTCTGTTAACGGTGCCTTAACCTGCGAAAACGCTGTATTTTTGACGTCATTTCCTCGTTAAAGTCAAAATTCTTCCAAATTTGGTCATCAGTAACTGGTTATGATGAATTGAACGTGTGCTTTTAGCCAATCAGAATTGGGGAAATATTTTGAATGAATAATAATTAACAATTAATGAATGAGGCTGAGTATCTTATAAAGAATTATGGACATCGAGGAGGGTGTTACGGCCTCGACGGATAACACCCTCCGAGATCTCCATAATTCTTCATATGATACGAAAGCCGAATTCAATAATTGTTTTTATTATTCATTCAAAATAATTCCTAGTTTAAAAGAATGACTGAAACACGCTTACCTCCATCGATCCATCGATGTTAAGTTCATCCTCGATAGTGCACGTTTAGGGTTGTTCAGCTCCGCAAATATTCTCCAAATAGCAGATGTCGCCCTTCGAGTTGTCTTCTTGCTTTTCTTGCCATGTTTTTAGCTATTTTTTCGCCTAGTTCTTACTCTTGAAACGAGTGAAATGTCCGCCATTTTTCAAGTTCACAACCAAAACAACTCAACCTCTTCCCCAGGTCTTCTCGGTTGACAGTTCATTAACCTGTAAGAACGCTGCATTTTTGACGTCATTTCCTCGCTAAACACAAAATTCTCCCAAATTTAGTCATCAGTAACCGGTTATGGTAAATTAAACGTGTGCTTTTAGCCAATCCGAATCGGGCAAATATTTTGAATGAATAATAATTCTCAATAAAAACATCTCTGACGTTATTTAAATTGCGTGTTTTTGCTTTTTGCCAAAACAAAAAAAAACCATGAGTGAGCCGCCAACGATCGAATGAAAAAAATATTTGTTGAGTTGATGGGACTGAGGGACCATGAGGATCTAAGGAATTTCAAGCCCATTTGAGAGGGGACTTAATAGAGACGGGGGGCTTATTTAATTTAGAAAAGATGATGGTATGAGTTCTCCGTAAAGAACTAAAGTACAAAGTGGAAAAGCTCAAGTACTTAAGGAGGTTGGAGGTCATTCACCCTAGGATCAGAACCAAATCCGAACTTCCAGAGTTGGTAAATGAACCATTCTGTCTCAGTCCACACGAAGTTTTACGGTCGAGACTGATTGTACATTCTATCATTTATTAGTGAAGAATAATTAGGGGAGGGGAGGGGAGGGGGACTTATTAACTTTCTTCCCCAGAAAAGGGGGGTGGGGGGGGGGGCTTATTGGAGGTGAGGGGGCTTATTAGAGATTTAGAGGGGGGCTTAATAGAGGATACGGCACACTTGAACTGATGCAGTACGAAAAATATCTTCTTGAGCAGTAAAACCTTTGCGGTGCTTAGGGCTTCGAGTGCGTCAGGTTTTACAAATCTTGCTTGAATGTACTTACAGCTGTCCCAAATTTCCCATCTTTGGGGGAGATGGGTGGAATCGAAAACCGCAGACAAAGATCACAGACGATCTGGGGCCTAGGCTCATTTGCGCCCGCAAGGCATGGCGGTAACAATCAAAAATGCGGGAAACGAGAGAATATTCATAACAAAAGGATTTGGGTGTAAAAATACCGAAAATGATGGCTTTTTCCTTTAAATTGCTATAATCAGAAGGTAACCATGGCTCTATCTAGTCCAGAATCACCTGTTCCGCTACGCCGGGTTGTAATTAATCGCACTGAAAACCCGAGCGAGGAACACGAGGAGCTTAACAAGATGGCACACGGCGTTGTGGCAGAAAGTCGAAGGTTTGTACTCTTGGTTGAGTTTTCTTTTATGTAGCGAAGTTTCGCTTAGTTGTGTTATTAATGGAGAGAACTTAGATAATTTACTGAAATTTTAAAAGGTGTATATGCACACGAGCCCAAGCCTAGCTTGATTTATTACATGGCCATATGCATTATTTCTATTTTATGTTCGATCAGTGTGAAACGCAGACTGCAGACTGCAGACTGCGAACCAGGGGTTAAAATGCAGACTGAGTGTAAAATGCAGACTGCAGACTAAGAGTAAAACGCAGGCTGGGGTAAAATGCAGACCGAGCATAACTGTAGTCGTGGAAGGGTTTAAGGGCAAAAAAATCCCGCAAATATATGTAAACGAACACTTACTTGACGACATCTGCTTTCACAAATCCATTCCTTTCTTCTCTGGAACGTCGTTGACGACCCGAAAACATAATCGCAATCTTGAACCTCTTTCCTGTCTGAGAGACTTCACGCTTCAACTTTAGATGCGAAGTTTTCGATATACGTGACCAGGGACCGTGAACTGATACAACACCACGATGTTTACGCTTAAATGAAAGCTGCCGACCCAAAATACTGTACAGGAAGAATTATGGCGATAAAAAAGGGAGTAAATCATTCCAACAACAAATAAAGATGTTCTGCAGGAAATTTGGATGACCTTCTATGAAAGTATTGCAAATCAAGGTACACAGACTTAATCTGTTCAGATGTTCATTGAAACTTCAGGTGAATGTGCAATACACTTCGACTACGAAGCGAAGTGTGTAACTGATACCGGCTACCTGTTTCACCGATTTGGAGAAGAAGGAGCACAAATGTTTAAAAAAGGTTACAGTCTTTATTCTGCATTTTACACCCAGCTTGCATTTTACTCTCAGTCTGCAGTCTGCATTTTACCCCCGGTCCGCAGTCTGCAGTCTGCGTTTTACACTGACCGTTTTATGTTCCCCCCACCCCCCCCCCCCCCCCCCCCCCACTAATCTCAATCGATGAGGGTTTTTATGGGGCTGGCCTGAGAGATGTTCTGATTGGTTCAGTAATAGTAATAGAAGGCAGGTTTTTCTGAAGGGTGTTTTTATCCAAAACATCAATCAAATAAATCAAGCAGAAAAGAATAAAGCAATAAATCCTTCGTTGGTCTGTTGTTAACAGTCACAGAACCATGATCAACACACAATGCATACCAGCAGCCTTAACTAACCAGTTGATCAGTTGTACAGTACTGTTTTCTCATCTCATTTTGTTTGTATAACCGCTTATTTTACTCATTTGACCTTAAGACGGAATCCATCAGGAAATTGAATAATTTTGCTTTTCAGTGGACAAAAACCTTGTACCAGAATAATTTAAAGCATATTGCATTCTTGTTTTACATTTTTCAAGGGCTAAAGATGTAATTAGTCATCTGTAATAATACCAAAGAAAATTTCTTATTGAAGCCCAAGAAAATGAAATGCCAAATTTCACAAAATTGCATCTTTCAAATGAAATTTTCAGAATTAAATTAAAATTACTCAATTAAGCAGTGGATTCCATCTTAATACTTGAGCCTCTTTATAGGTATTTCCTGTATTAAATGGACAGAAGAGCATCCCACAAGGGTGTCCATCTAATATAATCAAACCTCACTTTATGGACACCCTCTTAATATGGACAGTTTGCTTTGTCCATGGGGTAATAGACCTAGTCACGGTTTTCAATGCCATCTTGACGAGCTGAGTGGGCAAATGCATGAGAAAGTACAGTGTTTGTATGAGAAACTAATGTCGAATAATTTCTGTAAAATGACTGTTTTGAAAAAAATATGATTTGTAAACTAAAGCTTCACTCTTAAGGATTCCTAATGAAAAAATTTGAGGGTGTCACATGCACTAGAAGACCTCGAACCTTTTTTTCAAATTTTCTATACATTTGTCTGTAAAAATTTCCTGGGAAAAATTGCAGACAAATATATGGAAAATCTAAAGCAAGCTTCTGGAGAAATTTAAGCACAGTAACGGCCCCCAAAATTTGTTAGTAAAATCCTTTGCTGTGTAACTTTAGTTTACAATTTATATATTTTTCCAGAATAGCCCTTTTACAGAAATCATTCGACATTGGATTCTCATACAAACACTGTAATTTCTCAAGCCTTTGCCTACTCATCGAGATGACATCGAAAGAAACCCTTACATTTCCTCTAAATTCAACGTGCTTATTATGGACACCTCATCAATATGGGCATTTTCTATGGCTCCCTGTATGGCCCCCTCAGTGTCCAAAATAACAGGGTTCGACTGTACTGGTTTCACAACAACAGCAACAACAAAAACAACAACAATTTTTATTGTTCCCAAAGCAGAATATTATAGTTATTTACAAGTTGCTAAATTAATCAATTAACGAAAAGGGGTACTGACTTTCTGAAATAACTAATAAGTTTAAAATGCCAAGAAGCCAGATTCAGTAAAATGATTGAACTAAGTTTATTGTGCGGAGTACAATATGGCAGCATATCAGACTGTATACACACAAACACTCTGATATACACACACACACTAGTGCATATTACCATAAGAAGAGCGAAAAATTAGGATAGAAGTTACAAAGTACAAGATAATTGGCAATATTAGTACAGCGAAAGATAATGTTGTTTTAATTTTGATTTGAATTGAGAAAGAGAAACAGCTTTAATCTTTTCATCAATTGAGTTCAGTGTGGATGTCTGACAACCTTTCTGGTCTGCCTGGCTAAAATGGTGACCTACTGTAGTTGGACATAATTATGCCCTTTCTAAAAGGAAAAAAAAAAGTATTTTTAGGCCTGCTATTCAAAACCAACTGTTAACTCACTTTTGTAGCACAATATATGCCATGCCACGTCAAGCTGTTTAAATTCCATGGTTGTTTTGTTTACAGTGAAGATGTCTTCTCAAGCTATGCTTGCAACTCATTAAATCATAAAGGAATTAAACATCATCCGGGGGATATTGTAGAAGCTGGTTGCTTGGCGGTAAGTATGTATACTGCATGTTTTTTGAAATGGCTTGAAAATCAAACCGAATTTGTCCCTACTGTGGTTAAACAAGCATTAGAC